GAGGCAGTTCGTAAAATGAGGTCCACCGATACATTTAATACATTCACTATAAGAAATACTACTTTGGACAGAAACAAGCCTAATTGAGAACACATGTTAATATTCTCAATATAAAAAATCCAGAACATACATTTTTGAGACTATACACATAAAATTCTCCATTTATAAAAATATGATTAATGGGCCAGTTTATTCTCTTTACAATTCAAAAACCAATTTTTATAAAAATGTAATCTGAACTTTATGCAGAGTTCAATGATTTTAGATCTAAGATTTATCACCAAAATGTGGTACAGAAAGCAGAAATAGCCGTTTTAAAAAAATATCAATTTTTAAAATAAGATAATTTCATGAATGATAATTGCACAATGACTGCTAACCATATGAAAAATGTCAGTTATAAGACTCTAATTGACAACTGTTGGAGGTAAACCAAAGATAACTATCACATCTGTTTATCTGCTCTAGATTGTTCACTATTGCAAATAGAATAGATGGGCCTTTTTTGTAATCTAAAAAAACATAACATTCAATCCTGTACATTTCTAGTCAGGAATAAGTTTAATTAATTAATCCAATAGGACATGTCTCCAGATTTTTTTATAAGATTGCATCTAAAATTGAATGTTACACAGAAATAAAAATTAAGCACATTAAAGACATCATAAATTTTACTTGGTAGAAAGATAAGAATATTGTTGCATCAAGTCCTCTTAGCTTTTGCCAACTATCAAATAGTTTAGATGTAAGGTTGATCAGCCCAGCTAGCATGGCTACTGGCAAGGAATTGTAGAAGCTGTAATCTAGAATATGTGGAGATTGTTTATTTCTTATATATAGGAAAACATCTTGGCTTTATTTTAATATTAATAAATTGGAAAATCCAGCAGTGAAAATAGATCCAGATGTCATTTTTTTAAAAACATAATAACATTTAAGTTTTATAGATGGAATGTCCATAAAAATTGAATTTTCATTGTGGTGTTTATGCGTTTTGCATCATTATTTAACTAATGTTAAAATTGTCAGGTAACCCCACAAATTACATGCGGTAGATTATATCAATTGTCTGGACTGCTTTGGAAACAGTGGAATATATTCATTGTGGAAATTAAGTCTGAAGTAAATTTTTGTCTCTTGTTGTCCTTAGTCTGATGAATGAAGGTCCAGAGATTTGAAGCTTTACTGTATTCTAACATTTCTGATCTTGGTACTGAGAAAGAAAATAGATTAGACAAGAGAAAGTTCTATCACTTCAGTTAATATAGTTATATTTCTAAAAAAAAATTGAACTTCACGATTTCTTTTTCCAAGAAAATAGCTATAATTTTGGAGTCTAAAGGAATGCATTTTCTGAAAAGAAATATAAAACTAATCTGAGAACTATAAATATTTTTTGATAGATTCAATTATCTTTATATCTGTAAGACAATGGATTAAAATTCATAACCCCTGTCAATACAATTGTGTGGATGTGTGCAATCTGCTGAATTCCATAAGAGGACTCTTTAACAATGGCTGAATTTGATCCATTGCATTCCAGAGAATCTATAGTGTTTTTTCTACGGTGTGGTCCTATTTTTTTTTCTTTATATCCTTCCTTCCTCGCTGTGATTTTTGTTGTCCCTGTGTGCATTCCCAGACAAAAACCTAACCATCTTCTCCTATAACACTTCTTAATCTCCTAATACATGCCTTATTCTCTTGCCACCCTGACTACTAAGGTTTCTGTCTCCAAACCTGGCCCGGTTATCTCTGCATGTTGTGTATCCATTTGTAGAGTCTGATATTATTCTGCACATGATTTTTATTTCATGTGCATCCTTGATTTTTTCTTCAATCAAGTTATCTGTTATCCTACCATTTAATGAATTATTACCAAGAGAGAACTGGAACCCTTTTCGGATTTCTTGTTTGTGTTAAAAAAATGATCTCCTTGAATCAAGTGGATTGGCTTGCAAAATAAATTCAAACAGAAAAAAGCTGATATTCATATTTTCATACAAAAATAAAATCAGATAATAAAGACCCACATAGAATATGAGATGTGGTCAGTGCAATTCTAATTGTGTAAAAAAATCCTTCCAGCTCATTTGCCCAAGACAGTGTCACACCTACACTTATTAATTCACCCTGTTGAATGAACTCTAATTGAAGGTGAGGGAAGAGAGAAGGAAATGTACTTCTGACTGAACTAGACTAGAGTGGGCTGCTGATTTCCCCTTTTTTTTGTTCACATTTCCACATTGTGGATAATATGCTTAAAACACTCATTCCTGCCATCCAGGAAATAATGTTAACAGGCAAATGGGAGCTTATTAAGCACATATTATGCTTTAAGATATTGCCATTCTATGATACCATTATCGGTTGGTTGAGATGAATATTACCTAGAGACGCTAATGTTATTTTCTCTTATTTCATCTCACTATAACTTCACATTGCAATGCCTGTGATATATTCCTCACGATTAGATAGGACATGTTGTAATGCTCTATGACTACGGCTCTGAAATGAAGGTAGGGAACGATGGCAATCACTTAATCAAATTCAATAACATTACAATGGCATAACGTGTCCCTTACGTAGTGGAAGTGAAAGCAATAGAATAATTTGATTTTAAAGAACATTGTATTTCCCACAGTTCCACATTGGTTCATTTTAAAAAGTCAGCTAATGTCCTTTTTCTTGACTACATTACTTAATTCAGCAAATTCTATATCCTGAACAAAGTTGGTTGTCAGACTTGGGAACTGCATGTATCATAGCATTTTTTTCTTTCTCAGCTGAATAGCCTACCTTCAACAACAAGCAGTCATTAATTCTAGAACAGGATTATTTTCATCCATATTTTAGGAAATGTTTCTAAGTATTAAAACCAGTCACTGACTTCTGCAAGCCTGCTGGAAAAAAACCCCACAAAAATAAAAGCCTATATGCGTTTAAAATAAGTCAAAACATAGGTTTGATTCACAGCATCTTAATTATGCCTCATTTAAAAAAAGGAAAATGATGCATTCTACATATAAATTATGCAGAAAAAAAACCAGAAATTTGCAAACTGTTTATATACAGTTTTGTATATAATTCCAGATTTGAATTATGTATATATGCACATACACACATAAATACAGGGTAGAGGAGCTAGTGTTAAATTCTTAACAGGAAATCAAAGGACCTGTTCTCTCATGGTCACTACAAGTGGTGAGTAACTCAAATTGGGAAATCTGTTTGTTGGGTGGTAGGTGATCTGCACTGTTTCCAGATAGATCAGAAAGAGAGAGAGAGAGCATTAAACTGTCGGTTTGATGGAAGCCAAGGAAAATTAAAGAACATAAGAAGGAAGAATGTGCTATTACTTCCTTTGAAATCTGCCAGCGTTCTACAGCATATGTAGGAGAAGTAGACCATATCTTCATCCTTCACTACTCTATCTTGTATGATTTGATAACATCATTACCCAATTCCCTACCAGCAGTCTGTTTGGTAGGAAGCCTTCTCACAAAAGCCAAAGGAAACTAGTTGACCCCATTTGATTCAGGCTTATCCTGGCTTAGTGCAGTGAGAGGAATGTCCATGTAAGTCACAGGCCCTAAAGGGAATAGTATGGAGGAGTCCTGTACTAAGGGACTAAGCTATGAGAACATCAGAAGCCACTTAGAAAAAAAGGCTATTTTAAACTCTAGGAACTCTTAAACAGTAGTGGCAGGCCAAAATAACTATATTATCTGGGCAGTGGACAGGCTGTGGGAAATACCCAGGGGTCATGAGAAATAAAATTGGGGACAGAGAAAATAAGCGAAGATGTAGTATGAAACTACAGAAAAACACAAGAAGCACTAGTGTTGCTTCATCTTGGAGCCTTCTAACTGAATTTATTTTTATAATGCAGTACACATTGAAAAGTATTCCTTTTAGAAGCAAATTTTGAAATGACTATGGCTCCTCATATTGCTGAGATTAAGTATATCAGAGATAAAGTGAACATATTTTAAAGTTAGGACTTTCCCTTGCAAGAAGAAGAAACCCCATATAAGCATGCTTCAGACATTATATTGTTTCCAAATGCAACACATGTATCCATTTTTGTGGGATTTCTGCAGCGAAGAGAACAGAGAAGGTCCCTTATCCCAGTTTAGATTGCATGCTTTTTGCTGGGTTGTTAGTCCACATGGCTAAAAATTATTGCCTCCTTTTGGATTAGGAAATTCTTATTCAGCATACAGCAAAATGAAACACATTCTGCATAGCCTGCTTACTTTCTATCTAAGTCTCAAGGTTTCATTTAATTGCCCATTCCTTCCAAACTCCTCAAATGTGGGGTATCACTTTTTTCAGTACAAAGGAGGAAGAATCTTATCTGACATATGTAATATTTACATAAACATAACAGCTTCTGTTTATAATATTTTGAGTAATCGTTGTTCTTTATCCCAACCAAACAACCCAGTACATTTGTGTGTACGCTGGTGTGTTTTTTTTTTAAATGAGCCAAGTATCTGCAGTATTCTTTCTTAAATCCCCGATACAGTATACAGCTACACTTCTATGATTTCATTATACTGATATCATTGTAAAATATAATTTCATTATATTCTGGAGAAAAATGTAACTGCATGCCTAAGTTCCGCAGACTAAATAATGTCGCACCCAAAAGCTCTGCCTGGCCATTTGTTATGACCCTTGAATCAGTGAGGTAGGCAAACATGGCTTCACACTACTAGCAAGAGCCCTGGCAAGTTCTTCTTGTTAAAAGAAGGAGAATAATATTTGGAATGCTCCTGAACAACCACAGTGAGTTGAGAAGAAGGAAGTGGGGAATACAGACTTATCATAGGGATTTAGAGAAGAGACTAGGGTAGTAAAAGATGGGGGTGGGGTTTCTAAGGCAGGGGAACAGTGCAGTGAGCTCTTCCTGTGAAGTCGCATTTTCTGTGGCCCAGGGTGGGTTTTCTTCACCTGCTGTTGTAACTACTGCCCTCTGTGCCAATGGGTTCCAGAACACAGAGGACAACTCTCGCATCTCAATCACCTTTTTCCGACTCTTCCGTGTGATGCGTCTGGTGAAGCTCTTGAGTCGAGGGGAGGGCATCCGCACGCTGCTCTGGACGTTCATCAAGTCTTTCCAGGTATTCCTTCCTTCTGCTTTATGTGGCTTTACCTCAGGGCAGCAGTCAAGTTTCAGTCTGCTCTTTATGTTACATGTTTATACGGGATACAGCAACAATTTCTGAATGGTCTCTGCCCAGGATAAATTACTTTCTATAGCCAGGAATCTCAGGATTAGGATGGATGGAATGAAGCCTGGCGGGGTAGAGGATTTTGAAACTCAAACATAAACAATTTCTTTTTAAAAAAGAAAAGAAAAAAGAAATTTGTAAGATCACACACTTCTCCAAATGCAAAATTATTGGACCCTAAACTGAGAGTTTTATTCCTGTCAATACAAGTGTTAAGGCAAAAAATGAATACAACAATTTTATAGTAAAATTGTTTTTATATTAAAATAAAGGTGATGCACTTTCCGTCCATCAGGTCAGCTTGCTGATGCAATTGGGGAATCATTCAGCTATGCAACATTCCCCAATATAGCACCCTCCAGATGTGTTGGACCACATGCTGGCTGGGGATGATGGGAGTGATAGTCCCAACACATCTTAAGAGCACCAGGTAGGGGAAGGCTGATCTATGGCCATTACTGGCAACTGGACTCAGTCCAAATATGGCAAGAGACCCAAACCCTTATGCATATCTTGGTCTTGTTTTCTAGCTGACATAAAATCATGGATGCAAGGGGGAAATCTATGCAGGTGGCCACAAAACTGAGATCCCACTGTGGCTGGAGCTATTTCAATTTCAAGGGCACCTGACTTCATAACAATTCTTTAATCACAATTATCATTTAAAAAGTTAAAAGAACATGACATACATTAAGAATACAGCTGACCAGAAGACAGACCCGAGACTTCAGAAAAGGGCCCATGCAAATACTTATTCAGCAGTCTCCAGTCTAAATCAAACCTACTGATTTCTTTCTGCAGAATACCAATTCTCTACCTGCAGAGGGCTTCTTTCAGATTTATTCTCAATGCGTCTCTTGCTGAACTTTATAGATTCCCAGGTCAATCCTACATACTGGTAGTCCTCAATTTACAACCATTCATTTAGTGACCATTTGAAGTTATAACAACCCAGAAAACAGTAAGTTACAACCAGTTCTTGCACTTATGATCATTGCTGCATCCCCATTAATCGCATAATCAAATTCAGGCAGCTGGCTGCAGCATCCCCAGGGTCATGTAATTGCCATTTATAACTTTCCCATCTGGCTTCCAACAAGCAAAGACAATGGAGGAAGCAGGATTTACTTAACGACTGGGATTCTCTTAACAACTGCACTGATTTGCTTAACAGCCGTGGCAAAAAGGATCGTAAAATCAGGCACAGTTCACTTAAGCACCATGGTTAACAATGGAATCTGATCCCAATTGTGCTTGTAAGTCGAGGACTACCTATAATTCTTTTTAACATTTATACGTGCCCATGTAATGAAGAAACATGGTGGCTGCAAGAGGGATTCAACTCTTGAATAACATCATTACTTCTTAGAAGTATCTCAGACAATTATAGATAAAAGAAATTTGATTGTCTAAGTGGAACAAAATGATACGTTCACTTTCATTCTAATTTCAGGAAGCAATATTTCTCCATTATCTCTGAACTATGATGACCAGAGTCCAATATCTTCTGGACTGCCTTTTTCAACAGTTTCTCTTTGTAAAGATCCATGCCCATTGATGGAAATAAAATTAATGGAGCTCAAATAATTTCTTATTGAGTGAATTACAATAACATTTTTCCCATATAAATACTGGAATTCAAAATATTGGATCCATATTTCTATCCTGGGTAGTTTTGGCTCTTACTCTATGTATTCCTCATCTAAATTTTTGACACTATTTTTTAACAATGTAACGATCTTTTAAAAAATTATTAATGTAACAGTTGGCACATACAATTTTTAAATAGGGAAGAGTTATTGATGGTTAAAGTTGTAGCTAAATTCTTATTACAACAAATGTTGAAATCAATGGGAGAGAATATATATAATTCTGTATATGTATATTCTTTAATATATAAACCTGTATACATCCTGTAAATAAATATATATACAGGTTTTACAAATCTGACAGACAATAGGCAGGAAGCCCTGTTTTTTCTAAGAAAAATATTAATGTGAAAAGAAACAGTAATGACTTAAGAGAGATAGAACGTTTTGTTAGAACGATTAGTTATAGCAAAACAGTGGATCAGTAGAGTCATCTAGTGGAGAAATAAATAGTTTACATTAATGATAGTGTGTGCAGACAAGTTTTTAAAGGGAGATGCACAAGATTATCTAATGTTTTACTTTCTAATGCATTGTCATGTAAATGCATCCATATGCATTCTACTGCAGATTGTACAATCAAAGAAATATTTGCCTCTGGTCTTATGCTCTCAGGTGCTTTCAATATGGGGATATTGTATCCCAAGTTCCAAAAAGTTAGCTTGCTTAATCAATGATTCATCATTACCTGCTTTTGATTTTTTTCCCCCAGGCTCTCCCCTACGTGGCTCTATTAATAGTGATGCTGTTTTTTATCTATGCCGTGATTGGGATGCAGGTAAGTGTCTTCCTAAGATTTAATATTTTCTCTTGCAAGCATATGGAACGGGAATTACCAAGCTTTTTAGGAAAAGAATCTTCAAGTCAAGGAAAAACTTCATATGAAGGCCTATTACCTAAACATGAAGTCAGGGAGTCTAAAAGTTAAAATGTCAATTTATTCTGGCTAGATTAAAATTTTAAATTAATTTTATGTGTGGGTTAATAACAGTGAGGACAGTTTGGTGTAATGGCTAAAGGTGCTGAACTAGAAACTGAATTCTCACCCTCCCTTAGGCATGAAACCTGGCTAGGTGACTTTGGACCAGTCCTTTCTCCTCAGCCCAACCCCCCTTTAAAGACTCAGTAAACATGGTCAGAAAAAGAATCTGCTTTTGTGCTTTATTCTTTTTCAGCACTGCAACCATTTCATCTTGCTAATAAGTAAAATAAAAAGTAGATTTTAGCCAAAGTGGTACTTGTGATTATGCGCAGAGTCTAAAAGACAAAAGAAATCTCTCCATGCAGAAACTCTGCCTTATCATCTTGTTTCCTGAAATGAAAAATATGGCCTGCCTCAGAGTGTTTAATTTGTCCTCTTGCTGTAGTAACTCCCAGCGCCCCCTCAGAGCAGCTGCAACTGTCATTACTAACTAGTGAGTTGGAGAATCTGAGCCCAGAGTTCCAGGGCTCCTCAGGCGACTGACTTAGAAGAACCTCCCTTTAAAAGCTTTGTCTGGTTTGGATGCTTAATTTGCACTACTGTTTTGCACTTCTCTACTTTTAAGAAGCTGGTTACTGTCAGCACTTACAACTGTCAGAACAATCTGCATATGTGCAGAATTCAGCCAGAGTTTCCAAAGGTTTTAAATATGGACCCCAAAATAAAATAGTTTACCTAAGATACCAGATTGCCAGATGGACACCCATGATAGGAGATTCTAGTTTGTTCTCTCTGCATTGTCTCCTATCCATACAACTAGTGATAATTACTACCTAGCCTTAGACCAGGAAGCAAATTGTTTGTTTGTTTGTTTGTTCAGCACAAGTGATTGAGTGACTAGTTTGCTGCTCCTCTCCATTATCACTAATTTGGTATATTGCTCATGCCCTATAAGGCTGCAGACATTCATATTTTATACAGTAGAGATGCACAAACTATATTAGATGCATAATATATTACATGCATACTCTAGAAATATGCAAACATAGAGATTTCAAGGATTTGCAGTGGCACATTAGAAGTGCTGATGTATAGATAATCTTCGAATTATAACCAAAATTGAGCCCAAAATTTCTGTTGCTAAATGAGACATTTGTTAAGTGAATTTTAACCCTTTTTGCAACCTTTCTTGCCACATTTGTGATGTAATTCATGGCAGTTGTTAAGTTATGAACATGGTTAACATTGGCTTTGCTTGTCAGATTATTAAAGGTGAGCACATGACCCCGAGACACTGCAACCATCCATAATTATGAAATTTTGTTCACGTGACCATGGAGATGTTGCAGTGGTCTTAAGTGTGAAAAACTGTCATAAGTCACTTTTTTTCAGTGGTGTTGTAACTATGAACAGTCACTAAATGAACAGTTGTAAGTCAAGGACTACCTGTATTGCTCAAGGCATTTTCATGACTCACCTAATATTTTTGATTCCAGTATAGCTCAGGGTATTTGAGGCTAAAATTCTCACAGAGACTTACCAGATTTTTAAAAATAGTTTAGTGGAGTCCTTAGAGCTCAATAAACTTGGTTGTTTGCTTGCAGATGTTTTATTTCCCGGCTAAAGTAACATGGATTAGGCTACATAAATCTCCAGAGCAGAATACTTCTAGTTTTAAGACCCACATTCCTTTTTAGTTCATTAGGAACAGAAAACTCTTACAGAAAATGGAAGGATGTACAGATGCTCTAAACCTGCAGTATTTTCCAAACCACTTTTCTCAAGTACCAAGACGAGCATAACAGTCTGTCTTGATTATTTATAGAATTATTTCCTATCTTACCATCTGCTAGGCCTCAACCCAAGAATAACATGCAGTGATTCTTCCAAGCTAAGTTCTTTATTGTTTCACATCTATAGACAAAATTTCACCAGAATAAGCACTGTACTATCTGCATCTACAACATGTTCTGTCAACTAATAAGAAGGGGTTGCCTTCACCCTCTTTCTCTTGTGGGTAATAGTTGGACTGGGTTGCCTCTTCCTCTTTTGGAATGCATCGTTCTCTCCTAAGAATCCACTCCTTACTACAGTCCATCACATCATTCCTAATCTGCATTCACTATTGCCCAAAAGAAGTAAGAGAAAGAGAAAAAAGAAGAAACCATAGAGTGAAAAGGAAGAAAAGATAATCAGCAGCAGTTCAACTATTAGTAGAGCATCAGGCTACTGGGCTAAGTTGGGTATCAGGGAAGTGTGCAATTCAAGAGAGTGGAAGCATTAATAGATCAAGCTGTCATACCATTTGAAACCCAAGATGCCCCTTATATTTTCCACATTTCCAACATTTCATCAATTTCATGAAAACAAGAAGTACTGATCTTTGAAAAGTTTGAAAATAGTGTACTTATTGATGGTAAAATTGAGAAAAGTGATCTTTACATAACCCCTTGCTTATAAATATCTTAAAGAGTATAGTAATATACAAGATTTCTTAGCACAACATTTTTAATCTCCCTAAGCAATTTTTAGGATGGTTTATGAAGAGACAGAATAATTAGCCCTCTTATTTTATATAACTAATCTTGTGCCCTGCATTATAACTCCAATATTTCATTTTAAAATAATTTACTATTTTTATTAGCATCATTTGCATGTGTAAAGAAGAGCACCTATTGTATAAATGAAGCAAAATGAAAGTCTGCAAAATGTTTATTGAGCAAATTGGAATAGTGAATGGTGAATACCTTAAGATCTAAACCCAAAATAAAAAGATTAGATCAGTTTAAAGGGTGTAATATAGAGGGAGACTGTCAATCAGGTGTACATCCAGTGCAGTGTGAAGATGTCAAATGTTGAATTGAAATATCAGAACCATGCAAATACAGATAGGCCTCGACTAATAATCACAATTAAAATTTCTGTTGCTAATTAAGACATTTGTTAAGTAAATTTTGCCCCATTTTGCAACTTTTCTTGCCACAGTTGTTAAGTGAAGCACTGCAGTTGTTAAGTTAATAACATGATTGCTAAGTGAATCTGGCTCCCCCATTGACTTTGCCTGTCAGAAAACAGCAAAAGGTAATCACATGACCCCAGCCAGGACACTGCAACCATCATAAACATGAGGCAGGGGTCAAGTGTCTGAATTTTGATCATGTGACTGTGGGGATGCTGCAATCGTTGTAGGTGTGAAAAATAGTCATAAGTCACTTTTTTCAGTGCCCTTGTAACATCTAAATGAACTGTTGTAAGTCGAGGACTGCCTGTACGTGGGATATAAGTTTATTTTATATGTTTATTAGAATGAGAATATTAAGATTATCAGATACAGGAATATCTTGTGGAATGAAACATTACCTTGAATCAACTTTTTCTTTTATTAGGTGTTTGGTAAAATTGCACTAAATGATACTACAGAAATCAATCGGAACAACAATTTTCAAACATTTCCTCAGGCTGTGCTCCTGCTTTTCAGGTAGGTCACAACAAGGGATGCCAGGGCAGGCAACCCATATAAAAAATCCCTGGACGGCATTGTCTCAGTGTCTTATTTTTCATTACTGAAAACTAATGTTGCAGCTTCCCAATAGCTTCCAATAGGAACTGAAAAAATAAAGGTCACCAAGTTTTTAGAATAGTTGTAAGCCTAAACCAGCAGACTCATTATATATATATGGCAACACTGGAAAAACTGAAAAAAAAAAAAAAAATCTTCCAATCACAAAACGTTGCTAACCCCAAAGCATATTTGATTTAATCCTATTTTAGGGAAATGATTTAATCTTTTTCTCCCAGAGGCCAAATTGTACTAATCCTTTGATTTTTAATTCCACTGAATTTAAATACGTGTTTTATGAGGTATAAGATCTGATGCTTTCCAAATCTCAAAATGCTTTGTGTAGGCCAGCTATCCAAACTATCAGGTACAATAGACATTTTATCAGACGTCTGTGGCTGCTTATGAAGTATGATTTGCTCTATGTGGCAGACATCTCAGCCAGCTAGACGCAATTATCTTGTGAGTGATTTGCTGAGTACTTAATTTTTAAACCCCCTCCATCAGTAATGATAAGCTACCTGCTTCTCCACTATACCCCCTTTTCAACAGATGTGCTACTGGTGAAGCTTGGCAGGAAATCATGCTGGCATGCCTACCTGATAAGAAGTGTGACCCTGACTCTGTGGAACCAAACAGTACTACTGAAGGTGAACATCCCTGCGGGAGCAGCTTTGCTGTATTTTATTTCATCAGTTTCTACATGCTTTGTGCCTTTCTAGTAAGTAGCTATGGTGATCTATAAAAGTTGTGTAGTGATCTGCATTTTTTAACAAAAAAAAATTGTCAGGGGAGGCGAAGTAGTTGATCCCTGAGCCATATGCAAATTCTGAAACTTCCTTTAGCATCTTGTCTACATATTGTTTTCAAGAGGAGCATTGTAGAAGCTCTTTGTCTGAAAAAGACCTTGAAATATAAATTATTATTGCATGAAATACCTTCTCGTAGAATGAATGTTTTTGTGCTTATTTACAGATCATTAACCTTTTTGTTGCCGTTATCATGGATAATTTTGATTACCTAACCCGTGATTGGTCCATTCTGGGTCCCCATCATCTGGATGAGTTTAAACGGATTTGGGCAGAGTATGATCCTGAAGCCAAGTAAGTTTCCAGCCACACAACCTAAAGAGAGGAACTCTGAGTAACTCTACCTACAAATTTTAGCTTCTTCTCGAGTTTCTGTTTAGGAGCTGCTTAGGATTTCATTTCTTCTGTGACAAGAAGACAAATGGTATCCAACCTTATATGTATAGCAGGGCACATGCTGGATTTTGTATTCTATTTGGGCGGAACTGATAGTCTGAAAGTGGGGGATCTCTGTGGGATGGATCTTTTTTTTAAAATTAGGTTTAGGCTAAATGACTGGTACAAATCTTTACAACAGTGGAGATCAGAACCAGTTAAAATGATCCCAGTGCACTGGGAGTCCAAACTACCTCAGTGCACTCAGAAAATTTCTAACCTTGTATATATGAAATATTCTATAAGAATATAGAAACAATCAAGGCCGTTAATATTATGCTTCCTAAGCACACTTCCTATCATATCAATCATTTGATCCCCTAGGCAACTGAAAAGGTGGTGGCCTCACATCTCTGCATTCATCTAAATTATACTAATTATCTAGATCGATTTGAGTTGAGCTTTTGGCTGGCAGGAGGTACTGAAACTCCTTTTATTTACTTGGTAAATTGCCTTTGCCAGAAATTGTATGAGGAAAATGCAGACCTGCTGCTTGTCCTAGATTTTCAGTAGGTTTTGGTATCGCCACCTTCAGGCCTTGTGATGAAATCAGGCTTTGGGATTTGTCACTGTTCTTTATTTTCCAAAGATTGGACATCCCACAGCTTAGTTCATAACTGTACAAAATGCAATATAATAGCACACACCTTTCCTATTCCCTTGATTTAACTCCACCCTTCTAGGCTTTGCAAATTGATGCGGCCATGTAAAAAAGCCCTCAAAGATCGTCCTTGTAACAAGTAAAAGCCTTAATGTCTGTAAAGTGGCATACAACCCTTGCCTCTCTCCAAATCCTCCTGTTTTTGTTGACTAGGTGCTGACACAACATGATTGCTGCCAAGCGCCAGACAGGAATCATATCGAGTAGCTTGTGGTCCTTTGCAGTTGATTGATAGCTCTCCTGCTTGCCTGTAATAGTCATACATTCCAGACATCACTTCTCACTTTCTTGTCTATTTATTGTCTTCTCCTTTTACCCTTTTGTAGGCTAAGGGCCTGGATGGGGTAAAACCACCTATATATATAGCACATTCCTGAAAACACAAGGGTCTGGCTCAATTAGCTAAACATCTGGAACACCAGTGTCAGTGCTCATGAGGAAATCGTGAATGGGGGAATGAAGGGATGAAATTTAGTGAGCTTATCTCCTCTCACGTTTCTGGAACTGTAAACATTTATCGGTAGTCCTACAGTTCATTTAATGACCACAATGGCATTGAAAAAAATAACTTTGGATTTTTTTCACTCTTACAACCACTGCAGCATCCCCAGTGTCATCTGATCAAAATTCAGATGCTGGGCAACTGACTCATATGTATGACAGTTGCAGTGGCCCAAGGTCATGTGATCACCTTGTGCGACCTTCTGACAAGCAAAGTCAATGGGGGGAGCCAGATTCAATTAACTACCATGTTACTGACTTAACGACTATAGTGATTCACTTAACAACTGTGGCAAGAAAGATTGTAAAATGGGGCAAAACAGCTTTTAGCAACTCTTGCTTAGCAACAGAAAGTTGGGGCTCAATTGTGGTTGTAAGCTAAGCAATACCTGCACTGCCATTTGAGAAAAGGGATAAATTGAGGCTATCTTCGAGGAAGTGAAGGTGGGAAGCATGTCTGCTTGGCTGCGGCTGCTTTTCCCAAATGCAGATGGCTACCCCAGCTGCATTCCCTCATAGGAGTGCTTTTTTGCAGGGTTTTTGGTCTTTCCTGTCCAAAAGGAAGTGCTGAAATACATTGTTTGACACCTAAGCAAACCTTCTATGATTCCTATAAGGTTACTTATTATATCCCCCAATGTTCAACATCTACATGAAATTGGTAGGATAAATAATCCAGAACACTGGTATAATCAGACACCTAATTCCAAAGAAACTACCAATATCCTTGGATATTTCCTGACACACCTTCTTTTTTTAAAATTTTCCTGTAGAGGACGTATCAAACATCTAGATGTTGTAACACTCCTGCGTCGGATACAACCTCCTCTGGGTTTTGGAAAGCTCTGTCCTCACAGGGTAGCTTGCAAGGTATGATCGGTTTCTGTTCCCTTCCTGTTACTGTTTTTCATTACTTTTCCTTATATACTGATGAATGACAAACCTCATCCACCTTGACCATTGGTCATATTGACGGGACAATATGAATTGTCATCCAATCTAATATCAATGCTCAGAACTCTGTGATTTCTAGATTTTTTATTATGCAGTTAATAGATTTTATTATCATGAAATGTGCACTGGTTTCTTAGACAGCAAACATTTACATAGTTGATTGCCTTTAGTTAACATTTAATATTTTTATCTAAAATAATTGTTTTCTGGATATTAGTATTGTTTCAATATTAGTATAGTTATTAAAATTAGTCCCACGATATACACTTTAAAATACATACTGCCACTTTTGTCAACACCATCAGATTGACAAAATCACCATCACTCAATTGTAAAAATCAGCTTTACTTAGAATAGCTTACATTTGCCAGATGTTTAGACTGGATTTGGCATTTTTATTCATCTAGTAAACCTTCCTCAAGGATCTGGGATAGCAGATGTTATTGTTTGATGGTTGTGAAGATACCATTGCAAAACATAAGCTATTCCAAGTAAAGCTAACTTCTGCAATTGACAGAATATAGAACAACAGATTTGGAAGGGACCTTGGAGGTCTTCTAGTCCAATCCCCTGCTTAGGCAGGAAACCCTACACGACTTCAGTCAAATGGCTGTCCAATCTCTTCTTAAAAACTTCCAGTGTTGAAGCATTCGCAACCTCTGGAGGCAAGTTGTTCCACTGATTAATTGAGCTAAACATTAGGAATTTTCTCCTTATTTCTCACCATGAGACTCCTGGCGATTTTGTCAATGCTGATGGGTTGACATTGCTGACATCAACTTTAAGGATTTATATATAGATAAGAGATAGGATATGGGAAAGAGTATTTGTCGTATTTTAAGAAATGGTGATAAGTTATTAAAGTAGTTTATAGATGTTGTAATGAAGGAGAAATTTCTTTACATTTTGCTTGTCTTTTCTTAATATATTCTTATTTTTCCTTTCTGTTTCCTTTTCTGCATTTCCTACATTTTCTTTTCATTATATTAGTTTTTCAGTTTGTATTAATTTTTATTATTGTAATTATAATTCTTAATACAATTACTATAAAACAAAACTGGGAAAACAGTATATGAATTGATATGGTATACACTACATAATTCAATATTGTGTTTCTCTCTTTATCTTCCCTCATAGCGTCTTGTCTCTATGAATATGCCATTAAATAGTGATGGAACTGTTATGTTTAATGCAACCTTATTTGCACTAGTAAGAACAGCACTGAGAATCAAAACAGAAGGTAAGAAAACAATATGCAGAAGAAATACATGAAATTCTTGATAGGTTTTTTATAGCATATGTGTTATCATGCCATAAAATCAAAGAGACATAGATTTGTGAGGAACCAACTACCTGTTCATTGATAAATCCAACAAATCCAAATTAGAGTATCCCTGAAAATGTGAATAGTGCTTGCTAATCATGGATTACCTGTATTTACAAGAAAAGGGCAAGAAACAAAAGAAACAGATGTATATTCATATCCAAATTAATTTCTGTTTGTAATACCTTTTTTCTGTGTCTCACAGGGCTTAATTAACTTTTCTTGAGGCAGGTTTTCATTTCCATATTAGTATGTAGAAGATGCAAACCGTTTCAATTCTGAATTGACCTCATACTTAAAATTGCATTTATCATGTCATTGTCTTCCAAGAGTTGTATATGTAAAGCTAAGGTCATAATATAGTATGTAAAGTATATGTAAAGCTAAGGTCATAATATAGAAGACTATAGCTAGAAATTTGTTGAATTAACAGTTACTTGAATAGGTGCAATATGAATTATGATCCACTCAAATTGCATATGTAGATAAAACTTTGTCCCCCTGAAGTAGCCCCTAACCTCTAGCTGTAGAATATTCTTTAAAAAAGAACACATTTAACTAATTCCTAAAATATTTTTGCTACTCATGAAACTTTCTGTTGTTCAAGGAAATCTTTACATTCTAAATTCCCTGAATACCATTCTACTTTTGTAGGATCATTAACTTAAATCTGGCTTCGTCCTTCAGCCTCAAAAACCATTCTATCACTATGTTTTAACAGTCCTAATAGGCCTAATAGACTGTCATTTTTTTCCATTTAATTGGGTTTAATAGGATCAGAGTTACTAAGTCTACTATAAGTTACTATAAGATGGCCTCTTATTTTTAAATGGCTCTCTTTTTATCTGTGGACCAGATAAAAGTACTGCTCTATACAACAACTGAAATATTTATTTTACTAATATTTCTTCTTATAGGTAATTTGGAACAAGCCAACGAGGAGTTGCGTGCAATCATTAAGAAAATCTGGAAACGCACTAGCATGAAGTTGTTGGATCAGGTTGTACCCCCAGCAGGGGGTGAGTACATCCTTTTTTTCAATACTCTATTTAATACCAATTCCAATCTGTAACACACTGCAATTCCTGAATAAAGGAAGATTAGTTTTTTTAAAAATAGTAGGGCACTAATACGGTACTTCGTTAGTAAATTACAAAAACAAATAAACTATCAATAGTTTTATCTTTATCTTTGATTTTTTCAAAATGTTTGACATCTAGATGATGAAGTTACAGTTGGAAAATTCTATGCCACATTCCTGATTCAAGAGTATTTCCGGAAATTCAAAAAACGCAAAGAACAGGGTCTCGTGGGCAAACCTTCACAACGTAATGCTCTTTCGCTACAGGTAAGTATTGAATAATAGGTTGAGGTTCACAGAAAAGAAAGTCAAAAGTGGCTCTTGTATATTGCTTAACATTATGATATTGATAGAAATTACCAGCCCAGCAGTTTTATTATCTACTCCAGAAACTGTGAGAAACATTTCTTTAAAAATATGAATTTAGTTAATTTTGAAGTTACAAGATGGTGATTCCCAGCCTCAATTTTAAAAGCATTTTCATTTAATCTAATAAATTGGGTATACCAGTTATCATTAACATATTTTTTAGTTATTAGAATTAATTATAAATTATAAATATAATATAAATATAGTTAAAATAGTATATGTAAGAACCTCTGGTTGGAAATAAGGTATCTTGATAACAAATATATTTACTTCTAGATTAATACACTTGAACCAAATATTTAGAACATAATTATGAGGAAGTGAAGTTATGAGGTTATTCTATTATCAAATAGCATCTCAAGGATCCATCATATAGATCCTACAAAAAAAATCTAGTGAAATTTAGGAAATGTTTATGAAGGGTATTCATTGTAGTTTTCATCATGTTTTCCCTAACTTCAGAATAGACCAAGTAGCTTCACTGCAGGGGAACAAGTTATACGCTACATTCTTTTGAGTCTCATTGTCACAGATGGATTGAAAGTGATACTATTTTTCTGAATTGCTTTTTGTCATATTTCAGATTCAGGGAAACTATTACTGCAAAACTCCACAAGAGTGCTTTTGTCAATTTAGAATTGCAGAATGAATCAGCTAATAGGGAAATAGCATTTAGCATAAATATGTTTATGCTATATTACTTGAGCCCAAAATAGCCAGCACTATAATATCTAATTACATTGAGATTTAGTGGCTGTTCAGAACCAATGTAAATAAATACTGTATTTTAAGATCAATTTTATTTATCTACCAGTACGCTAAACCATAATATTTTCTAGGCTGGTCTGCGCACATTACATGACATTGGACCAGAGATTCGAAGGGCAATATCTGGAGACTTAACAGCAGAAGAGGAATTAGACAAGGCTATGAAAGAGGCTGTTTCTGCTGCTTCTGAAGATGATATTTTCAGGGTAAGTGCTTGCAGCATGAATCTGGTGTGCAGCAGAATGATCCAAAAATATTCAGTCAGATTCATGGACTGAAGTATATGTAGTACAGGATGAACAGAGAAAACTATATAACTAAGAATAATTTAAAAAATCAGATCACTTAAAAAGGCATTTCAAATTTATTTATACTACAATTAGCGAGCATCATCTGTGTTTTTAGTCAGTATCTACTTCTTATGAGAAATCAAAGATCAATAGAGAGGATTGGCAGAAGTACTGCATAGAACTGAGGTTTAAAAGACATGCCCATTCTTAGCTGAATGTGATTAATACAACATAAAACTAAATTCTTTCCATCACTACTATTAATGTTGTTTCTACATTCCCAACATGTTAAAGCAGAAATGAACAGCCCCAAGAGCCACATTACTTGCTGTGTTGTGAAACTACAAGTATGTAGTTTCACAGGCCAATACACAGGCACAGGTTTCATTCATCTCTCTCTCTTGCTCTCCTCTTCCTCTGCAGCTTTGAAGAAGAAAACAATAACCTAAAGGAATCTATTGTAGAAATTAAGCAACTCTATAAGGTGTTTTCTGCTTAGCTCATTTTCCCCTCAATGAAGGGTTGCTGGGAACTCAGTTCAAGGTTGCTGAGTTCCCAGTGTAATAACTCAGGAATCTGAATGCCAAAGATGGAAAGATTTCTATTCTATTCCTGATAGACAGAAGTATCCTCATTACAAGTACATTGCTGTGCAATAGGGAAACTAAGACATTGTACATTGGAGTTTTAAGAGCCAGATATTTATTTGCAAGTACTGCTCCAAAAAAGCATCCTATGAAATGGATTGCTGAATGCATACAACAGGATATGCTGTTATAGCATATTCAGCAACATTTTATTCTATTACCATTGATGTTACCACAGCAATGAAGAGAGAGACTTATGACTGGTCCTCATAGTTACAATTATTGAAGCATCCCTGTGGTCACATGATTGCAATTTGGGCACTTGTCACCAGCATTCCCCTATTACATGATCACCATTCATGACCTGCATGCTGGTTTCCAACAAGCAAAGTCAATGGGGGAAGCCAGCAGGAATCACAAATGACAGTCACATGTTGTTGTGCCCAACGACCATATGGGATTTGCCTAACAATAGCAACTGGAACTGCCACAGCTACCATCACTTGCCCGTGGTCAAGTGTTCCATCTCTCAGGCTGGGGGGTCAAATACTACGCCCCTCAGATAGGGTCCGCAACTTGGGAGTCCTCCTGGACCCACAGCTGACTTTTGAACACCATTTGTCGGCTGTGACCAGGGGGGCATTTGCCCAGGTTCGCCTGGTACACCAGTTGCGGCCCTACCTGAACCGGGAGGCTCTCACAACAGTCACTCGTGCCCTTGTGACCTCTAGACTGGAATATTGCAATGTGCTCTACATGGGGCTGCCCTTGAAGAGTATTCGGCGACTTCAGCTGGTCCAGAATGCGGCCACGCGAGCGATCGTGGGTACACCCCGTTTCACCCACGTAACACCTATCCTCCGCGAGCTGCACTGGCTGCCTGTTGATCTCCGAGTACGCTTCAAGGTGCTACTTGTCACCTACAAAGCCCTGCATGGTATTGGATCTGGGTACTTGAGAGACCGCCTACTGCCAATTACCTCCACTAGGCCGATACGATCCCATAGATTAGGCCTCCTCCGAATTCCATCAGCCGGCCAATGTCAGCTGGCAACTACCCGGAGGAGAGCCTTCTCAGTGGCTGCTCCGACCCTCTGGAACGAACTCCCCGTGGAGATTCGTACCCTCACCACCCTCCAGACCTTCCGCGTAGTCCTTAAGTCCTGGCTGTCCCAACAGGCCTGGGGCTAAAGATTTCAACCCCACTCGAATTGTATGACTGTTGTGTTTTTAATGATGTATCGTTTTTATGTTTGTGACTCGTTTGTCCTCCCTCCCCTTGAGTTGTGAGCCGCCCTGAGGGAAAAGGGCAGCATACAAATAAAGCATCTCATCTCATCTCATCTCTCATCATAAATCAGCCCAGTTGTGTTATATTTGTTTTATAACCTATACTTTACTACTTCTGTAGTGATGCTTTTATTCATTCATTAATATGCTTTTGTTTTGCTTCCAGAGAGCTGGTGGCTTGTTTGGAAATCATGTCAGCTATTACCAAAGTGATGGCAGGAGCTCATTCCCTCAGACATTCACTACTCAGCGCCCTTTGCACATCAACAAATCTAGCAACAACCAAGGAGACACTGAATCCCCATCCCATGAGAAGCTTGTCGATTCCACCTTCACGCCAAGTAGTTACTCCTCATCAGGTTCCAATGCTAACATCAATAATGCCAACAATACTGCCTTGAGACGCTTTTCTAATCCACCAAGCTATTCCAGCACCGTCAGCACCGTGGATAGCTACAGCACCCCTTCCTCCGCCACTGTACGGATCCAGGAAGTTCCTTGGAAGTTCCGTTGCAGAAGGTAAAGACTGTTGACAGCAGCAATATTTCTATCATTTGCCAGTTTAATAGATCATTGTAATTGTACATGGAACTTCAAAGAGAAATATAAAATAATATAACAGACATTTGAGCCATTATGTATATACACATGCGTGCATGCATACATACATACTCTCCCTCCTAGAAGATGATGAAAATGGCTATTCCAAACATTTCAAAATATAATTAATTTTAAATTGTTATATCTTTTCAAATCAACAGAAAATAAATTATTAAATTTTAGTATAGGACTAAGCACCTCCATCAAAAACTTGCTGCAACCTAATGGTTGAAAAAAACGAATTGAGACAGTATTTAGTCCTAATCCATCAAGATTCAGTCCCATCTCCTTTCCATCTGCTCTTTATAAATAAAACTTTTGGATTATTTTATTTATTTGTACCCCAGCTTTATTATTTTTACAAATAATGCAAGGTGGCAAACATATCCAGCACTCCCTCCTCCGATTTTCCCCACAACAATCCTGTGAGGTTAGCCTCCTGCTTTCTAGCTTTAACCACTACCAAACTGGCTATTTGAGGTGCATACAAGTACTCCAAACACATTACAAAACAATGTATTATTATTTGTCAACATTATTTGAGAACATTTTAAGCAAAATCACCTTATAAGAGTTCCTATAATAGAATCCAATAATGTAAGTTGGGGTACTCAAGTAAACTATCCTAATAACTTCTTGGTATTCATTTACTTATCTATTTAGTAGGTTCCCAGTTTTTCCAATTGGAAAAACAACTCTGAATGGACCACCTCCATAGGGAATTCCAAGGCTCAAACGTCTATTACAGTAATTCTTCCTTATATGGGCCAGAAAGTTAATGTCTGTAACATAATAAATATTACAGCTTCATAATCTAAGAAGAGCTTTGATGGATGTCAATCTTAATATAGTATTGTTTCTAATAAGGGCTGACCAGTTGGCTCAGAAGAACAGGAAAGAAAGTATTAGCTCATGTTCACTTATTATTGGTAGGATTACTGCCTTTTGATTATTGAACATTTATGGATAAAAATTACCACAAATTTTCCTAAGAATTATTTAAGGATATTTGTTGCAAATGGCAGCCAGCAAGTCCATATTCCAGGCAGGAACGGACATAGAATCCTCATCCAAAGATGAGGTGCCCTCTATAGAGTTAGATTGCTCCAGATTCTCCAACTGAAAGAGCTCTAAACCTGAGGTGTGAAAAGCATGGGGCTAACTGACTAAAATTGGGAATCCCAGGAAAATGAAAAATCCAGGAAGATTAAAACAGAAAATACGTTTGAGAAATAGGTAGATGTTCCAGCCAGAAATTCTCTGGGGTTTTTTCCTCTATGATACTAAAAGGTGTTCTTTTTTCATTTTCTTTGTACAACCTAGTGAAGTGTGTCCAATTAACCATTTATCAGGGTAAGCATGGAGATATTGTGTTTATAATAAAAGTTGAAATCTCTGCAGTATCAAAATTCAACAGGAAAAAAAAATCTGTTTCTATTTACATCAGACAAGCATCATCATGTTTCATTTTGCATGCTATTTTTTTATTTTGGCAGGTTTTTTTTTCCTTTTTCTAAGAGAATCTAATTTTGTTTTACTCCTATTTAATTTATTTTCTTCTACAGGCGGGGGGGAGGGCAGGAAGGACTTGTACTCTTCTCCATTTCAACACAACACAGGCAGGAGTTTTGGACTATTTAAATTATTTCTATCTTGGTATCTTTGGGTGATGGGTTCTGAAGTTATCAAACTAGCACTTCAAAAGCAGTAGGTGGGACCAGGATATGATGATCCAGAGTACTCCTGGAAGAAGAGATTGTACCATAGGGGCAGAGTCATCCCAATATTTTTTCTTAGTTACTTCTGTGAGATAATTAAGCATATGCAAGAAAAGTACTTTTTAAATCTGTTCTAAATTAACCATCCATTATGAGGTCTTTGCACCCATAAATCCTTTTGAAATATTCAATATAAAGAAGCAAATATTCAGGATATGTGTGATATAATTAAAGTATGAAAAGTAAAGTATGAAAAATATAACCAAGATCAACCTGTGCCTATTTAAAAGCTTCATTTTATTTTTCTTTCTGTGTGTGCTTCAATCCTCATTACTGTGTTCCTTCAGAATAAATAGGCTTAGGCCATACAGAAAGAGGAAAAGAATAATTGGCAATGAATAAACACTGCATCCTAGGAGATGATGAAAGTCCTAATATCTGCGTGATAGATAAAACAATTTTTTTTTATGGTGAATTCAACTTGTAGGTAAATAGAACCAATGAGTCCTTATTCTTGCCCTCTTTCAATCCTGATAAAATAGGCATGGAAAAGAAGATTTAAGGGGATGAATGCTTATCATATTGAGATGAAATTGGGATTGCTGAAAAAATATTGCTGAAACACTTTGGACGTCTAATTCTGGCCATTTAATTAATTTGAAACATTTACTTTACTGCCCTGTTTTCTGAAGCATTTTAAAAGGCTAGGCAAATAGATCTGTGCTCCAGTTTTCTGCCTTACTCTGCAAAACTATAGCAATCCAAAAATACCGTACCTCTTTCTTTCCTTCTTTCCATCTCTATTTCTGATTATCTTCTTTTTTGCTTCCCATGCTTTCCAAATTAATTAGGATATATTATTATGAAACATTAGGGAGGGAGGTAATCTTGCTGTTCATCTGTATTTTATATAAACATTCATTTATCAAATCATGTTAAATTTTAGTTTTCAGGTATAGTGAGGGAGGAAAACTACTATTACTGCTATAATATAACACAGATAAATAAGAGGTTTGTTGCTATTGTAAACAGCAAACTTAGAATAATTTTGCGAATTACTATCCAAAATGCATTTCAATTCCATTGAATCAGTGTTGATGTTATGGTCAAACTACAAGTTGTATACAATCTTAACTTATTTGCAGGACCACTTGTCCATAGCCTTTGGGTCTACCCCACTTGCTGTCATAGGATGGGCATGTTTCCCTGAGGCAATGCCTTTCTATGGCAATGTCTTCATTATAATCTTCACTAATAATCCCTATCCCACCCCACCTCACTCAAAGCTCAGATAGCCCCAATTCTCTTCACCATGAAGAAAGTTTTAAAGGAACTTTTTCCCTTTAGATATTCGGTCAGAAGGGCAGATTATTTTGTTTTCTGGGAAGCAAAATACAGGGATTGATTGACGCTGCCCTCTGTGTTGATGATATGTTGCCTATGGATTGCATTACTTCTTATGATCTCTTAACTGTACCCAAATGTTTTTTGCTTGGTTTTAATTTGATATACTGCCACCTAGAGTCATGATCACACATGTCAGGTAGCTATATACATGTAATCAATTAAAAAACAATTGTTACTGGAATGCTATTATGTGAATTGGCAGTCTATTTGGAATAATGGCAGAGGTCAACTTTTTCTTCCTGTGCTGTTTTTCTGAATCACAGTTACATTTATTACTAGCATGTTTTTTTTAAATAGCAAAAAAAATAGATAATGGAAAACATTAATTAAGCCGCCTGCCCCTCTGATTTACTCCTAAAACAGTGACAGTTATTTCAATTAAATCACGGTAATGCATGTGAATCACCAAATACCAGTGAGAGAACAGTAATGGCAAAATTAAGTGTTTTAAGATTATGTGTATGTAGGTTTCCTGGAAGCAAAACAATTTAAAAGCTACACTACCAACAAGATAAAATGCAATTACATACATGAGCACTGCAGTACTAACAGACCATTTGAGTATCAATGTAGGTTTTAGACATTTTTTTCAAAAATCATTATTGTTGTTGTTGTTGCTATTATTATTATTATTATTATTATTATTATTATTATTATTATTATTATTATTATTATTATGTTAATCTTTGGTGAGATTAACAGCCTTTGGGGCTGGTTGGTAGCTCAACAACTTGAGTCCTAACCAAGGACCTAGGAACCGTTAAGATAACGTTGGAGGATATAAGCTGTTCCAAGTAGGGTGGATTTTTGTAGAATCAGAATGTTCAAGTCCAATAAATTTAGAATTTCCAAATAATGAGGTAGCCCTTTACATATTGCTCCAAGGGCTCCAATTACAATCGGGACAACACTCGATAGTCGCTCTACTTCTATTATTATTATTACATACTTTATTCACTAAACATGAAACTCAGCCAACTGAACATTCAAAAATGCATTACAAATACCATTGACTGGCGCTAATGGTTGATACGGTTTTCTGCCAGCGTCCTAGGTATCAACCAAGTACCTTCGTAAAATATAAGATATTCCGAGTAGCGCAGTTTTTTTGCAGTTCTGCTGGTGTTATTGCAGGAAGCTGCAATTTGTTGATGTATCTTGTAAAATTCTTGGACATGGTGCCAAGTGCCCTGATGACAATGGGTATCACTGTTATATCATCATCATCACCATCACCATCATCATTTGTTTCAGAAGTATGGCATGCATGGTGAACAGGAAATCTAAGACAGATGCTTCCACATTTTCAAATTAATTTCCATACATGAGATCTGTATCTCATTTGCCAGGCCAATTCAATTTGGCAGGGTTGGCACATCCTGGGTTCCACTAGTGCTATCTTGAAGAAGGTTCACTTTGAAATTTGAATAACTCCCACTCTATTAGTATTTTAAAGAACCTTAAAGAGAAGACTAACACTTTCTTCCTTTTTGTTCCCCTCTGAATTTATTTTCTTTGCCATTGTTGTTCTTTTGTCTTGTGCTGTTTTGTTCTTGGTTTTTTAAAAGTTTTAACAATTTTAAACTGCCCAGAGTTGCTGGGAGTCCGATAGTATATGAATTTAATATATTATAGTTCATTGCACAGGCAGACAGTTGTTCAGAGTAGATTTGGCATTTTTGTCCGCCTATCAAGTCCTTTTTCACAGACTTGGGATAGGCAGGTGTAGATGTTTGATGGTGTGAGAGGTATTGTTGCAGGATATAAGCTGTTCTAAGTAAAGTATGTTATCATTATCATTCTTATCTTTCTTGTAAGTTAATTTTGCCAGGACCTGCTTAAAAATAATGCAACAGAAACAGTGTTTCCACTGCAGCATTTCTACATTTTCTTCATTATTCATAAATCCTTCTGATCTTTTTGCTTATTAGATCCTATTCCAGAGACAGCCAAGTAGCAATTGTTAGTGAAGAGGAAGCTCCTCAGGAGGAAGAAACATATAGTGAGCAATTAAATGAAGAAACTGAATATTGTAGTGAACCAAATTTGTTATCACCTGAAATGTGAGTATTTTATTGTAATATACAAGTTGTTTTGGAATTTTAGGAATAGAATCACAACATTCAGTCTTGCCTTTCCAATAGTTCCACATTAGAAATACATTAGTAACTTTTTCCACATGTTTATACCATAGTTTAAATTGTAATTTGCTGATAATATACAAGGGTAGGGGAAAAAAGAAGAGGGAACAAGCAAGTAAAGTATTTGTAGTATTTGTAAATCATAATTTAGCACTGTACCTGAATTAATAATTTAGTGCTGTAGTATGAAAATAAATAGGTACCAGTAAGTCATAAATCTAAGCATATGTATATCATACCCCTAAAGGAATTATTTCTGGTTTTACCACTAGCTAGCTCCCAGATTCTCCTATAGTTCTCTATAGTGAGAAGAATATAATACTTGGATTGTCAATTGCTGGAGATTATAACAACCTGCTCCCACATACCAATATATTCCTAATTCTTTTGGATGAATTATCAATATATTCCTAACTATACTATTAGTGTGGTAGAGGCTGCTTAAAAAATAAAAATGGTTGTAAACTAAGGCATAAGAAACTCATTCTAAAATATATTTCTCATATATTTCATCATTCCATTATGGTACGAGTAACAGCTTGGTATGTGGAACAGAACTGAGAGGCAAAATCTGCAGATTTGGGGGTCACTAACCCAACATTGTATAGTGTGACATTAACCTAATTAAATCTGATAGAAGAGGCTGTGTTCCTTTTTTAAGAACTGTACAACATGGTGGCTAATTCATATATTTTGGAAAAACTTGACACTTTCAATTACAGGTTATCATACCAAGATGATGAACACAGACAGCTAACTCTCCCAGAAAGCAAAGAAGATATCCAGCCATCTCCAAAGATTGGATTTCTACATTCCTCATCACTAAGTAATACTGTTGACATTTTTAAAAATTGTGCAATCTATTAAAAATCTATCATTTATTGCAAACATGAAATAGATTACACAGCTGATACATATTTTCATGGCTTTTAGCTATTAGCTGCCAGAATGTTGGAATATACAGAGGGCAGCACAAATATTATTCAACTACTTGAGAACTGCTATTAAATTAAAACTTACAATTCAAATAGGATAATCCTTGTTTTCAAATAAACAAATATGATGTCTTCAAACTATAACTGGAGACATATGTTAGAGGGAAATCCTGTAAAATGAGAGTTCCTATCTAGATTATTCTTGACATTTACATTTTGCAGATAATAGACATTTTTAAAAAGAAATTGCCAAATGCTCTGCAATGTAAGTTTCTACTTAAAGTCCAGATTTATTATCTCAATGAGAAGTAGACCATGTAAATATGTACACTGTTTAATTAAGAACAGTGTAAACCCAAATTGTATGTTTGTCTGCTTAACATAAAAGCCCATTACATGAGGGGAAATTCCTAATCTTTTCTATGCCTGTGATTTTCTTCTACCAATGCCATAACCACCACCCACCCCGGAACTATTTTGCCTCAACTCACATTAATTTAACAGAGTTGGGCTAAAAAATATAAATAGGAGACTTAATTGCAGAAGATGGCAATACTCTTCTAGTTGACAAACCTTACTACAAGCAAATCCTATCAGTGATACAAGGGAAGTATGATACTTCAACATAAGATCATAATTAAGCCCAGGATTATGGTCATAAGTCATGCTGCTTGTTAAGTGAGTCACCATGTGATGGTGCACCAATTTTACAATGTTTTTGCAGTAGTCATTAAGCAAATACTGTGATTATCAAACAAACTCCATGGTCATTAAGCAAACCCATTGTATCCAATGGATGTTTTTTTTGCCAGCAATTAGAAGTAAATGCTGGTTTCAGTCATGCAGAATACTGCAGTCATAAATGAACACACAAGGCTAGTTGTCAAGCACCCAAAATGCAATCAGATGACTCAGGAGGGGGGAGCCATCAGAACTTCGAAATTGTATCATAATAGCTCTGAAGAGGTCTATTGTATTTCAAACAATCACTTAGTGACTAGTTGTAAGTCAAGGGCTGGCTACCTCTATTTGGTATCTGTGTCTGCTTCATAGGCTAATGCTCTCTTTTCAGTGATTATGCAGTTGGACTGATCTATTTTCATACCGTGCAATTGGCTTTCTAGGTCGAAGAGCATCCTTTCATCTGGAGTGTCTAAAGAGACAGAAAAATCAGACTGCAGGTGTCCCCCAAAAAACAATATTACCTTTGCATCTAGTACATCGCCAGGTGAGTATTTGCATGTAGAAACAGCTATCCTTTGAATCATATTGCATTTAAAAAATAAGGTATACAATCTGATCTTTTGATCATAAATGTTATGGTTAATTTTCTTGACATGAATGTATGCATTTAATAAGATATATGTATCTAATGTCCAATGTATACATCCAATAAAAAGATTATTAGTTAAAATAACATCAAATTAATATAAATAATAAGCTATCTGCTTAAAATATCACTACTGAGTTTTGTTCTACAGAATTGGAAAAATAATTGAAGACTGTTTAGAGGGTAAGATCTTCCTTTATATTTGATGACTTACATTCCTAAAGCAAATTCCCAACAGCACAAAAGTTATCAAAAATTGAAAACAAATAAATTATTATGGTATCATCTGCATGTGACGAAATGGACTGTATCTACAAACACCCATGCCATAATATATTTGTTCCTTGATAAAGTACTACAAGAGCCTTAAAGGTGTCATTTCTGTATTTAACAGATTTAAATGAATCACTTATCTGAAAAATGTTATCCACCTGGATGAATGAGATGTTTTCAGAGACAAAGTTTCTATAACTCATGAAGAAAAATATAAAGGGTGTTTCTCGCATGAAACCCAAATTTCATGTGATAAATACCCTTTATGTTTGGTTGGGGTTTTGCACAGTGGGTTTTGCACAGTGAAGGGGGGGGAGTCTGCTTTAGAAGTGATAATTTTCTCTTCCAGCTATCAAATCTGATAACACAGTATTTAAACACTTTAATACAATCTTTCCCAAATTTTACAAATTGACCTTCCTTGTAACAGATTCATGAGTAGCATAAGGAGGGATGTCATTAACAATGGATTCCAGCAGCTATCCAAGTTTTTGGGAGGCTAAACTCCAGCCTAACTGCTCGATAGCTCCATTAACACAGCACTATAATTTCAAGCAGGTTTGATGAAAGCTGAAGCCTAAGTTTGATTTTTATTAGTCAACTATTGGTTTAAATTAAACTACCTTCCAGTGAGTTTTTCACTTCTCACATTACTAGATAATAATTGTTGATACAGAAATGCAACATCTGATATGGCTTAATTTTTACTCAATGCAAGTAATTCAGCTTTTATATGGGCAAATTTTGTGCTGCAGTTTTCACTCTTTACTTTATATTGGTCAAAGAGTATAATAAAATCATGGAATTGGATAATTTAAAATAGGGCATGATGTCTTAAAACAATACAATGGGAAATATCTGTTATAATAATCTGTCACAGAAATTATGGTGACTATCTACAAATCATGTAGAGGTGTTAGTTTATCCAAACACAACTTCCCAGTAAGCACACTAAAGTTTCAAATGAATGGCACTCTTCTCTATTCCCAAAACAATAATAGAATCACTGCTACGTATAAAGTATACCTAAATTATCTTAAAATCCATTAAATTATCCATCAAATTCTAAATGGCACTTCAGTATACATAGGAATTATAAGAACCATGTATTATCCTTGTTCAGTTAGCAAGTTTCAAGTTACAAATAGGTGAAGAGCAGACATATATTCATTTTTTGTTAAAGTTTCTTTTTGATCCGTGTTCTAGTTTTCTATAAGATTGAGGACATTGTTAGTATGAAATATAGAACAGCAGGTTAAAGGAATATCATTATCCAACTACAGCCAGCTCCCCAAGTTAAGCTGAACTTTTTTCAAAAATATTTGGCTCATTTCCCCCCATGTTCTGAGTCACCATGTTGCTGACATACTAATTTATCATGTTTTCTGTCTACAGGCACTAGCAGTTGCAAGTCGGAGTCCTCTTCAAAGTATTCATTCATCAATTAGATCTTCTCGACCCTGTTCCACATCCTCTGCAACACATTGTATGCAAGACTGGCCACAGCAACATGATAAAGGATTGTGGCTTGATGAGGAGGAATCCAATGAGAAACTCAATAATAGTTTCCCATCATTATACTGCAGTTCCTCATATTGTGATAGCACCAGCTCTAGCATCACCCGAAAAGCCAGGCCAGTCTCCCTTATAATCCCCAGTCAGACAAGAGAGTGTGGCAGGCAATTCCATGGTAGTGCCAACAGCCTTGTTGAAGCGGTAAGTTGATGTCTGTTATAGTTGTAAACATAAGAGCAAGAACCTACATGTGAATTTTTAGATAAGCATCTACACATACACACTTATCTAAAAATCATATATTTTTAACAAATGTGTGTACACATATATAAATATATATGACGCAAATATAGACAAACAGTAAGATGTACTTAACTAATTATTTCTTAAGTTGATAACTTTAATGATAAGCTTCTTATCAAACATGTATGCTGTCTGACTCGCAAAGATTCTGGGCAGATGACTGATCAACCAAACAAATTACAATAAGATAATAAAAGATAAAAGTTGATAAACCTGGAGACCAAATGGAATGAAGGAAGAGGTCTCATTCTTCCTCATTAAAGGCCTGGCTAAGAGAAAAAGCACAGTGGTGCTGCTACAGGGAAGGCATGCTTTCGTGGTCCTGAGAGATGATATTGTTTAATCAAAGGAACACAGAGTGAGCCAAATCTGCAAGACTAAAGTGGCCAGATAGATAGGACTACAGCCATAGTTGGAAGTCAATCTTCCAATGTATCTGGAGGAAATTCATTTCAAGAAGGCAAGATTCTTAGTCCCATTCATCAGATAGAACCTTCAGTTTTTACCGGATAGATATTTTTTCCTAATAGCATTAACAATAAATATATAGAAAGAAATAATTCAGTACAGAGAGGATGCTTGCCAATAGAAATGGGAAGACTAGTCCAAGGTAAATAATTAATTTGATTAATATATTTTATCTTTGACAGTTAAAACAAAATCCCCAATGCACACCAGTTTGGTTGGATGGCTTAGAACTAGTCAATTAATAACTGCACTGTTACTACAGCCAGATGGTTTCTTGGTGTTACGTTAGTTTACACTGAAAAAAAAAAATTCTTCTCAGTCCCTGCTGTAAACATTGGGGGGGGGGGGGAGACACATACCCAAAACATATACTGTAACTTCTAACCAACACAAGGGATCTTTTTTTTAAACCTAGCAAGTAGAATAAAGATCCTAAGTGATGTCTTCATTTTTATCATCTCATTCAAACAATTTCTGACCTCATTTCCAGAAGTCCCCACTCTTCAAATATTTTTTGGAAGAGTAGGCTTTGGAACAAAGGTGGTATAACTGCCAAGGTTTTTCACTAATTATTTTTATTAATTTAAATTTCAAAGAGAGATAAAATACAATAGCAGAAAAGTAAAATGGGGGGAAATGTTAAAAAGTGACAAGAAAAAATATATCAAAACAAGGCAAAGTTGTCTTCCAACATTCTTCAGTACAGATATAAACATAATAAAGTAATTGCTTACTCTAGGCTGAAACAAAAAAACAGAAAGATCATATAAAAATATACAAGTTAAATAATAAAAATAACAATAGAATTATATGACAAAATAATATACAGTACGTATGTCTACTAATAACAGTAAGAATAGGCCTTATTTCCATAATCATAATGGATCTAACTATCAAATCCTAACACCAAATCTTCAGTTTTATCTTTCTTAAACAAGAAGTCCAAAACTGGGAAACAAACTAGATAGGTTTTGTCTTTCATCAAAGTAGTCAGCTTTGCCCTCTCTATCAATTCTATTAATTTTACAATCTTCCTTTTAGTTGTTGGAATTTCTGTATCTTTCCACCTTTGATATATCAATGCTGTTGTCATATATAGAAACAAAATCCCATGTTTTCTTTCAAAACGTCTATCCACGATACCTAAAAAATACTTCAGATTTCAATTTTACAGCCATTTAATATTTTCTGAATCAAACAACATATCTGATCCCAATACTTCTTAGCAGTCTTACATGTCCACCAAAGGTGATAAAAGGTACGTTCACATTTCCAATACTTATTTGATATTCACTTAAACATCTTTGACTATTTTTCAGAAGTTAAATACCAGCAATATGTCATTTTATTAAAAACATTTCAAATTATACTTCAATAAAATTTCAATCCTTTAGGCCACATATTTTCCCATTAATCAAGCATAATGGTATATCCAAAGTTTTTGCCTATTTAATCACATGCACTGTAACTTTATCCTACTGGTCCATTTTCAACAACTATTTATATAACTTGGCAATGAGAAGTTTATAATTAGTAGATAATCGCTTACAGTCTGTTTTCCATCTACAAAAACATTTTTTTTAATCCAGTTTAAATCTTTCTGCCAACTGGGCATAGGCAAACTATTGACAAATATATCCTTCCTTTTTCAACTCTTCTCTTGTTTTTAATCTTGGTTCCCTTTCAGTAACAATCAATACATCAGCATAACTAAATGAAGTTAGTGTAATAAAATTTCTCTTCTAAAAAGGCTTCTGGTGATGAAAGCCATAAAGAGATTTTAGGACAAATTTTTACTTTACACTTATTCCAAACTCTTCAGCTCATGTTCTTTTAATTCCAATAAATCTATTCCTTAAAGTCACCCAAAGTCACTTCATAGATACCAAATAAAATACTTCAAAATACAATTTTAAGTCCAGTAGTACTAAACCATCTCTTTCTTTCAGATCTTGCAACAATTTATGTTTAATTATTGTCATACAACTCTAGAAATTTCTTTGTGCCATTGTTTAAAGCAAAGGTCTTCAACCTTGGCAACTTTACGACTTGTGGACTTTCATGCCAGTTCATGCCAGCTGAGGAATTCTGGGAGTTGAAGTTCACAAATCGTACAATTGCCAAAGTTGGAGACCCCTAAAGGGTGAATCAGTTGTCAATACTGATATAGTTTAAAATAAAAATAACATCCTAATTAAAACTTCATTTTAATAACATTCTACTCAATAGTGAGAACTGTAGTTTATCCCATCTTTCTGAATGTCATTCCATACTGCAATATACGGTAGTTATTCTGAAACAACATGTGGTTAGTATGTTGTTAGTATAATGTCTAATATTTAACCTTATCTTCAATTTTAAAACCAGTGTTTTTCATTAAAATCTTTTAATCTCTCTCCCAACATTGTTGTAAAAATTATTCAAGAATGAAATTGGTCTATAAATCTTATTAGAAACCAATGCTTCCTTAGTAATAAAACAAGATTTGCCTCTTTCCAGGAATCTGGCGCTGCAAGTTACCGTATGTATTAAAGTTTTTAGTTGCATCACTTTTTCCACTTTTAAGGGGAATTAAAAGTTGATTCTCAAAACATTTCCAGCATAAACTCAAAAATCTGCTTTCCCTAGTTTAATTTTCATTTTAACTTCTGAGGTTTCTAAAGTTGTTGCCCTATTCTTAATTTGTTTCTGAGCTTGTCTAAGATTTGGTAAATTGTTTCTTCAAATAATTATACATCTCCTTTCTGATACTTCCAAGGAGACTTCCTGTCTCTTATATAAATTTGAATAATAATGCATTATCTGCTAGAGCTGTATTATCTTCTTGAATCTTTTTTTTTCCTTTTTCTCAGTTTATAAGCCAACCATCTCCTGGTATGTTGGCAAAATTCATTTTTTCTCTTTCAGTAATTTTATTAATTTGGTTTCTATTTCTTGTGTAGTTAACATCCGTAGTTGTTGCTATAAAAGTTTTATTTGATATACAGTGGGGGAATCTATTGGTGCTTTCTGTAGTTCAACTTTTCCTTGAATTTCCTTTAGAATAGATTGCATTTTTCTTGTGATTTTTTAATTTCAGAATTATATTAAATAAAACACCTCTGCAGCTTTACTAGCATCTCAGGCAGACTTTAATTCTGTAACTTTGTCAAGGTTGCCATCAAAAACCTCATTTTTTTTTTTTACAATTCTCTACTACCCAGTCTTTTTGAAGTAATTCTTCATTTAATCTCCATCTGAAAGTGGTAGATTTTGTCTTTAGTATTAACTTAACTGGATTGTGGTCAAAAAAAGTATTTGATAACATGTCTAGTTGGACTATATTTTAGCCACTTTTTTAAAAATCCATATCAAATCAATTCTTGAAAAAGATTTGTTTTTCTGTCTCCAAGAGACTTTATCAACACAAAATTGTCCATCAATAAATAAATAAATAAATAAACATACATAAATACATACATACATATAAAATATCCTGATTGGATTTAATTCCCTTACTATATGTTCTATCAAACTGAAGAATGGGTACAACATTCCAATCCCCCAATGTATACAAATTTTGGTATGAAAATGAAAACAAATGATCCACCAAGTTATTAAAAATGTTTATCATGTGGTACATATAACCCAATACAAATAGATTTGATCTCTTGCATCTCCACTTTCACAGTAACATATTCAGCACCTGTCAATTAAAGACATGGATTCAATTGTGATTTTATATATAAAACAATCTCCCTGGACTTTTTTGAATTTGCAGATATAAATTCATCTCCCCAAATTTTATTTATCAAGTGTTTTATATCTTTTTTTTATTTCACTGATTTCTTTGATCCTTGCTATAACAGTGATACTAATACTGATATCTGCTTTTGTTCCTTGTTTTTGATGTCCTGGATTATCAAAGGTCTTGATTTCGGAAGGACTGATGCAGTTTGCTCAAGATCCAAAGTTCATTGAGGTTACCACCCAAGAACTAGCTGATGCCTGTGACTTGACAATAGAAGAGATGGAGAATGCTGCGGACAACATTCTCAATGGTAACAGCAAACCAAGCCCCAATGGCAACCTCTTGCCTTTTGTTAACTGCAGGGACCCAGGGCAGGACTGTATGGGCAAAGAAGCAGAAGCAGCCCAAAACCCAGATTCTAGGAAAAGTCAAGAGGAATCTAAGGATACCAGGATTTATATCAGCAGCCTGTAGTTGCTGAAGCTGAAAGTGATGCTGGTTTTTTAATTTGTTTCAATGTTCCTAATGGGTTTGTTTCAGAAGTGCCTCACTGTTCTCGTGACCAGGAGTAACCAGAACAGCATTCTTCATTTATTTCTGTCGGGAATTGCAGAGTTGGGTGGTGTAAAAGAGCTTTTCAGGAGTGAATATAGAACCCCAGCATGTGTCCGTGAAGGAGGAATCAGGAGAAGTAAAAGGCAGTGTCAGCTCCCTTCTTTTTTCAGTCCCTGCACAAGGAACAACAGCTGCTTCCTGAGTGTGAAGGAAAACCTCAACTTCCTGTGGATGGCCGTAGCCAAAAGGACACTGTATCAAGCGGGTGTCTTTCAATTCTGCTTGTACAAAAAGGAATCATTTTGCACATGTTCTGTATGAGCCTCACTGTCTCCATAAAGCCAAGACCCTTCTGATCTACAAGTGGAATAGACTTCTGCAACAGATCCCACACATTGCTGAGAAGGAAGCAGAAGTTGCAAGATAGGAGATGCAGGTGGCAATATTGCAGATGTTTCTTGATGGAAATGCAGACTCCCAGGCAGTCTTTTCTGCCAACCAATCAGAGCTCAGGCAGTCATCTCTGCCAAATTGAGTTCAAGACAGTTAGCTGTGCCAACGGCTCCAAGAGCATGAAGCCAGCTCTGTCAAAAGGAGTTCAGGCAACCCGCCCATTTCTAAGAGAGGTGGTGGTGGGCTTATGTAGATCTCTCCTTGTTCTTGCTATTTAATATTTTCTTGAAAGCATGTTCCAATTTTTATTTTTGGATACTTTATTTTATTGTATTTTATTTTTTAAGGGAGAGGGATGGAGTGTTTACAGAGTTTGTAATCACCTGCCTTTTTGTTTTACACCTTCACAAATATTTAACATTGATTTATTTTTATTTTTGTTTTCCTCCACTGACATTTGGTAGAAGCTAATGATATTAGGAGTTTTGCCAATCATAATGTATACCAGACTTTGTAATTTTATTTGAAGTAATGAAAATTTCCTTTTTTGTTGTTGTTTTATAATTTAAAGATAGTAGGCAATGCACTTGATATAATCTTGCACATATGAATGATTGATTTGGATTCTTTATAGTACTAGGTATATTTGCAATGTGTGAACGAATGAGCAGGACTGGGTGAATGAATGAGCAAGTGAATACACACCTGAAAGTGTGCAACTTGATACAGTTCTCCATTTCCTGGTTATAACTGAAGGAGAGCTTTATCTGGGGTGATTTGAGTGCAAAAATAAATCACTGTCTCTGCTTTTGAAAGGGGAATCAGTAACTCTTTGCATTTTCTGTTCCACAAGATATGCAAAAACAATGCAATAATATTAATTTTGAATAAAATGTGTGAATTGTGCTGGCATTAAATCTGTATAGAAAAACAAAACAAGGGGATTAAAAACAAACAAAAACAACCAAGTGAGAAGGAGTTATATTTCAATATATTCCGTGTGATGTTTTATTGCATTGATAATGTTTCTGTTGAAGAAACCGTAATACTTGAATTCAGGTCAGTTTCAGTATTTTTCAACAATTTTTTTAAACTGAATAGCAATTGTGCCAAGCAAATATAATGAATTAAGTTTGTTTAAGGGAAAAAAATAACAATTCTTGTATATTTTGCTGCATGTAAAGTAAATCATTTCGTATTTGGAGTGTGCCAAGCTTTATCTTTGAACTTTAAGTGCTTTTCTACATGTGGTTGGGGGAAAGGGTATACTATTTTTTTTTTCATTTTTTAATTTGTATAATGAACAAAGTGTACCTAGTGCTAAGTAATTATCCTGCAACCCACTGACAGGTTGAACATTAACTGATTTTGCATATCTTGTGTTCATTTTCCTTATTCTGCACTTTCTTAAACATGCATAATGAATTGGGAAGACTATCTTGCATTTTGAAGCTATGGATTCTTATCCAGCTTTCTTCTTTTGCATAGTTTCTCTCAGTAATTCTCCTAATTTAAAAGGTGAATAATTCCATATGCTAGGATAATCAAATATATCCAATCCTGTAAACTGAGCTGGCATCAGCAACCTGGGACGGGAATATCTTATTTTTATTATATGCCTCAAATATTACAGAGATTCTTATTATGACATCAAATAATGATCATTAGCAGTCGGTTGAATATTTTCTATACATTCACTAGGACATAGTATACCTTTAACCAAATTTGTATGTGTAGAGAAGCTTCATTTGTGTACTTCAGAAGACTAGTTAAATATTTTTCATGGTAAAATAAAAGGGAAAGAAACATATTAAGGAAAATAAGAATGTAAGAGTTATTGCAACACATGGCCAATATATAACAGGGATAAGCTGCACAACTATAAAATGAAGAATAACATAATAATAGTAATATGCCAAGAAGTATTTAGAGATTATGATTAAAAGTCTGATATAGGTCAAAAATCTCATAATGCATACATAAAAAAGAATTTTATATTGTATGATATTAACTGATTAAAAAAACATAGAATGTAATTATAATCTTCCAGAATTCATAATTCATAAAATTACAAAGAACAAATATGGAAAGGCGTGATATGGTAGCATACTAAAAGAAGATAGAAAGAGATGTTGAACCCTTTCAAATATTTAAAAACAGATCGCAGTTGCTTCTGTAGCCTCAGTTCATTCATATATGCAGTAATGTAGTACTTGGAAATGTTTGATCATATCTATTACCACCTACCTCCTGATCATAAGGAAAGCATTTTGGCATAATTCAACAGCAACCACTTGTTTGAGCATTAGTAGAATCATCTGAGTAGTTGGTTTAATATTGTAATTATATGATGCTCAGGATGAAAACTATAGAAATAGTTTGCAATTCAACATCTGGAAACTCTTCTGCAGGCCCACATGCTCAACATAATATAATCCTCTATAACACACAGGTCTCAAAAGAGGTGGGGGTACAAGCATCATGATGTACAGTGTATTCATTGATGGGGAGAACATATATAAATCACAGGCCAAAGGCAATTTGATGTAAATATTTCAAAGAAAGTTTCTAACAGAAGCAACTTTCCTTCACAGAAAATGAGTAGTTTTTAGAGATGCTACTCAAAGGAAATGTTATTTTCAAGAAACAAAGGTCAGAAACTATCCTACCTGTAGGAATCCAACCTTTTAATAATCGTTGATTCTCTGAATACTGAAATCAGATTTCTTCCAAATCAAGTAAAATCTACTCTAGAGTGCTGTTTATACACCATATAGTTATACATTATACACCCTTCAGAATTATAAAGTTGAACATCTAAATCATTATTTATAAACTTTGATTAATGCAGACATCCAAATTAAACTTTTTCAGAAAAATGATTTCTAATATTCATCTACTGGAACACATCCAAAGAAGCAACCATCTTTCTGGGTAGTTGGTTTCATCATCAAACAGCTCTTAACTTACTAAAATTTATTTTGAATGTCTTCCTATAGGTTAAATCTATTATATTATTTGTTGCACTCTGAAATGAGAGAACTGATTCTAAGTTGTTGTTTTTATGTGGTGTTCTTTCAGGTATTTGAAGAGTGCTGTTATATCCCTATTAAGATGGTTTTTTCCTAAGCCATCCATAGTCCTCTGCCAATCTTTCTCTGAGTCACCTTATAGATACAATATTTTACTCCAGTCTGAAGGAACCACATGATACTCATGTTCAAGCCAGCACTTTATCCATGAATATGTCATCCAGCCTATACTTAAGTCTATACAAACTTTGACAAATGTATTCTGAAAAGAAAATATATTATTCTCACTAATCTGACATTGATTTTACCATTTGTTTTTAGGTGATAGTACATTCAGAAGTGTGAAAGCATATCAATTTACTGAGATTTCTTTTAAACTCCAATCTTTCAAAAAATATCCTACAATAAATAATTTTAGATACTTAGCATCATTGTTTGTCATACTACACATCTGTTTCTATCTTCACAGTACAAAACTAAATTTCTTCTATATTAAAATAGTAGAATCTGAACATATTTAACATTCTTTTCTGTTCTGCAATGTAACTATTCTTTTTCTTTAGGGTATTATACTCCATTCTTCAAACCCAAACAAACCCTACCTTTACTATGAACATAATAAATAGTCATTAATTGAGCTTTTTAAAGTTTCAAAAGCCCTGCAAAATGTTTTTCAATATCCAAAATATTCGCAATTATTGATAAACAAATCTTGCTCACTAAAATCTTTCTGCATGTTAATCATAAAACATAAAATAGTTTCCCTGAAATTAGAAATTGGCTATCAGTCAATAAATATACTGTCTATAAGACAAAGATACAAAATCTGCCTGAGTATTAAATTTCTTCTTTCTTTCTAGTTATTTATCTAGTCTTCCCCTTGATATCATCATGGGGGGATAGTTCATATCAGCATTTGATCGCTAGGTTGCAGTGCCTTGGAGTAAATTCAAACTTAATGAGAAGTACTTCTAAGTACAACTGTGCTAGTTGTAATTTTGACCTTGGGTAAAGAAATTGCAAAAGCACATAAGCCAAAGCAAAGTTCTTGTGGGTTAATTTAAATTGCTGACTTTTGGCCATTATAAAGAATTCCCCAAACATCTACTAACTGAGATAATTAATTTATTGCTCAACTACAGTAGATGAAACATCACACAGTAAAAGAAGTAAAACTTCACATTACATAAAGCTCAGATATATTGTGCAGAATATGAACAATGTGAATCTCAAGACGAAATGCTATGAATCTACAATATGGCTTATTCCCATAGAAGCATACTGTAAATCCAGAAAAGGTTAATGTTTGTGTACAAATTTATTTCAGATTATCATGAACTTTTCCCAAATTTTCTGGGGCTTTAATATTGCATTGATAGCATATAAAAAAACCTCTGTTGCTACTCAGTTATTTCAGAAACAGCTTAAAGTTTTTCACCAGAATTAGTTCATACTAATTAGTTCATCAGTTGTATAAGCACTCAATTGGCAAGAAATTGTAATATATACATATATACTAATGCATATACACAGTAGTCTTAAAATGTATGCTAACCCTCCTTTCCAATACAAATATATATTACAAATTCTGATGAACAAGGAATAAGATTAAAAACAACTAGTTGAATTAGTTTTATACCAGCTGTGAAAAGGGTTAAATATGCAATTACAACATTACTTGTGATAACATTCCGTTTACCAACATCAAGATGTTTCCAGGTCAAGTCAGCTACTAGTGACTTACATGGATACACATGTATTTTAATGTGATAAACAAGTGGTTTGCCAATGCCTTCTTTCAAGATTTTTTTTAACTTCCCAGTAATACTTCCAAGGTTTCTCTCCTTCGCTTCCTAGATCAGCCAAGGTCAGCTAGGTGCTGCCAGGATCTTTTATTTACAAGATTGAAATCCACAGGTAGCATAGTACCAGTGTAACTGGTCATATATGGTGCTATTTCCTTATCTCCTGTGGTTATATAAGCACCTCTAGCCCAGTCATTGCAAATGCCAAATTGCTTTATTTATTTAATTGGTATAAGAATTAAATTGTGATATTGCATATTCAAGTAAAACATAGCTGCAATAAGTGATGACAGAAGTAATGACTATTGAACAGTGCCAGATCTATAGAAAAAGAATACAGAAGTATGTTCTCCAGAAGATAGTAAAGAATATGTCATTTATGAATTGATCAGAAGGAATAATTTCTGTACTGATCAAGTAGTATATGAAGTAATCTATTTATACCGCCAATTTCTGCATATGTGCTAATATGTTTTGAGACTATATATTTAACAGTTATTCTAAAAGGCTCTTATCTGAACTATTCATTTGTGTATATTCTCTAAGCCTCATGAATATGCATAATAATTTTTTATGCAAGTTACAGTCAAAATAAGTGACAACATTCCAAAAGCCTAGGGAAGAGCATTAATAAACTCTTTACATAAGGTACGGTGCTTATTTTGTGCTTATGTAAGAGAAAAAAATCTATGAGATCTCAAAAGGGACAATATTTAGGCTCATATTTTGCCATGATTATTCATTTGGGATATTAGTTACATCTCCAATTAAAGAAGAACAATTCAGTACTCAGCTTGGTAGCAACATTTGCTTCAGTATATATGAACACTAACATACTAGTCCCAATTTGCACCCTTTCAGATGTTGATCAGTAAAAACAAAACTCTATCCTGTATCTAAATGACAAATTGGTGGATATAAGGGAAGAGTTTGCTGGTGCCAGCACATTTTGCTGGTGGATAGTTGGCAGTTGAGCTCACATGGCTGTAACCTAGAAAGAGAGAAACTTCAAATGGGTATGAGCAAAGAGCTACTGCCTCTTTTAAGCGGGGCAGAGTTTGGGGCACAGTAGAAAAAAAATTTGACTTCATAACATGTTCTCTTTTCCCTTCGTATTGAGCTTATATGCTGGATACAATCATTGCACTGCAGCTGGAAGCTTTACAGAATCTAAAGACTGGGCTGTTTCTTAGAAGGGAAAATGCAAGCATCACTCTTGAGTTTGTCTACTTGTGCAACAACTAAGGACATTGATTGCAAATACCAAGATTTCCATCTTCCCCAGCCAGCTTGGTAATTCCACCAGATCAATTATTTTGGATCTATTTTTCTTTTTCTTCCTTCTGCTGTATGATTTAAATGATGGGAGGGAACAGGGATTAATGATCGAGAGCAGGAGTTCCCTTAGCCCCAGAATTTCTCTGCATCGTCTACCTCTTCAGGTGAACACACATGATGAAGAAGTTTCTGATTATGATGATGCAGATACTGCTGCTACTGCAAGGGATCCAATCTGCTTTATTAACCAAACTCCCACTGTCTGAGGAAGCAGCCAAAGGAGCACTATGTACAGGATTGCATCTATTCTGGTTTGTTTTCTATCCCTGGCCCCATATCATTGATGACTATGAAGACAACAACAAAAAAGGGCAAATGCATTTTTTTACATTTCTTGATAATTTTCAAAGCAATGTATCATTGCTTTCTTTAAATTGATGCCAATATAACAATTGTATGGGTCTCAGCCAGCCTCCTGTGTCTTTTTCTGACTTAGAGTTTGAGATCTTTCTGTGAAAAAATCATATTTATATACAAATATAATTTGACAACCCAGAAGAAACTTTTAGGTAATACAAACTCCACTAGCTGATCAGTTACTAAGATAAAGTGAAGTTTCTTCAATACTTACTTAAAAACAACACACACTATCCTATAAAGCCTACGCTTTCTATATATTTGTGTTAAAACATTACAATATGCGTGTGTATACACATACGCACACACACAGAATATTTTTCATTAAAGAAGAATTATGGAACAATTGTGGAACTGAACAACTGAGCTCCATGACTGACTTTATATTTCACAATTAAAATAATATTTTACAATGTCTAGAAAACAGATTATAGTTATTTATATAGGCCTTCAAAATCCTCTTGCAGAAAAAGATGAGATGCTAACAGAAATGTATATAGGGAACTGTTACAAGAATAGAGAACATTAACTATTGATCTAATAGGCATCGCAAGCCATGGTAACCAAAGGTATTTATTGCATGAAGGGATGTAACATAATCAGAATTATATTTCTGGAAGGTACCTCTATTATTATTTATTCAAGTGGTGTGGAGAGGTCTAGGATCAAAAGTATATTGGTGCTGCTATCATGACTGCTGACTGCCGACAGTCAGCAGTTCAAGTCTGACCGGCTCAAGGTTGACACAGACTTCCATTCTTCTGAGGTTGGTAAAATGAGGACCCAGATTGTTGGGGGCAATAGGCTGACTGTAAACTGCTTAGAGAGGGCTGTAAAGCACTATGAAGCAGTATATAAGTCTAAGTGCTATTGCTAAATGCTATAATGAAATAATGTTCTGGATTAAATTAGGGTTTCAAAATACAGTACATAAGGTTACAATTTCCTATGCCAAAATTGACTGGATATAGTCACTTTTAATTTACAATGGAAAAGGAATTTATCCACATTTGATGTATTGATACGTTACAAGTATGAAATATGATAAAAATCAAGAGTTCATGAACATATGTGAGAATGGATCAGATCCCCTTCTTCCTCTGAAATGACTGCTGCAGATAGAGAAATATGGAAGGGAGAATGATAATGTAACCTAAACACAATAATACAAAAAGCAGGTATTTTTTCAAAGAAACTGGATCCAGGTTTAGCATATGCTATAGGGACTACAGTACACAGTATGTCTTTACGTGCAGCTTATCCTATACCGTATCAAATAGTGCAGGTTGATGAATAGCCAACTCTGAAAAATCAGTCCTGATCCTGGGTACACTAACATTGCCAAGATGTGGAGATCAGGTGTAATAGCACACCCTCGATATGAGCACCAAAGAATAGAGAATTTCTTTAAAAACAAAAGCTATTTCTTTTATTATATTCACCATTCAGGTTGCTTCCTCTCCCCACTTTTATCATTGTCTGGGTTTTTTTAAACTATTTCTAAATTAGTTTTTTTTTAATCCCATTTATTCAGCACTTGTTCAGAATGTTTTAGAGTCTAATATCACTAATGCCATTTTGAAATGGTTTTGTCAGAAAATAGGACAACTACCAGATTCAGCAGACACAGAATTTTCAAATTCTTTGCTCACATGTAGCAGTCATCAGATTTTTGGTAGATTTCAGATTTCATTAGATCTGGTAGTTCTATCACATAACTTTCCCTCCCAAACTCTTAATTAATGACTATTAAAGCTACCAGGCACTCATTATCATAATCTTCTGCCAAAATCAAATTGAACATAGAGATTAGGACAGAAAAAGAGCCTAGTAATGTAGTTGAGATATATATGCTTTGTTACTCCATTTAATAATATTAAAAACTGAAATCTAATAAGTTATTTCACCTCAGTTTCTTACATTACTATATATGTTCTTTCACTATCTTGTGCTACAAGCATGCACATTCTTTGTTACATCTTGTACTTCTAATACTCAAGAAAGAATACCCTTTCCACCCACTTAGTTCTGCTCACAGCAGGAAACCTATATTATTTCTCAGCTTCTGATGACTATATATATATATATATATATATGCTGGCTTACTTGTTAATTATAGTGGGCACATATGTGCTATGGACCAAAGCTGCAGATGAACAAATCTCACATTTTCATTTTTCAATGAGTAGAGAAGATTTACCATCTTACATCATTGCTGACTGCTAAATGGAGGTGAGACCAATTCCAAAATGAAAAAAGAGGGAAAAATCCTCCAATTACATTTTCCAAGAACTTTTACATAAATTGTTCCCAGGCAAACAAGTTAGCTACAACTGTTATTGTTGTACTCCAGCTAGAAACAACTTCCATAAAATATTTAGATAGGAAGGCAAAACTCAAGGCTGCCCATTTCCTCTGTATGTGTAACTGAATGCATTTGTTTGACTAGGATACACAGATAGGTTCTCCCATAACTTGGTTAGGCATACTTGGCAATCAAAGCTTATAACCATTACAGAAATTTTTGGAAAAGGGCAGAAAAAGATGTTTGTTATCTTCCAGTTCCCTAAAAGTGCAGCTGTGGGCTGAGGGCAAACAGGCTCTGGAGAACAGTTGAAAAAAAGCATAGTGGTAACTTCTCTGAATGATTGAAAGGTGGCCAAATAGAATTTTGCTCGTGTTCTCTTGATGAATTGATGAACTGCTTCTTCTGTCCCTATGCATACAAAATTAAACATATATTTTTTCTGACTTTATTCATTATAGTTTAATTATGTTTCTCCAAGAAACTCAAGATGATGTGCATGATCATATCCTTAAATATAATTAAGTTGCTTTCATTCCCCTTATTTGCCTTAATTTCCTATCTCTTCTCTGGACATATTTCTAATATAAGTACCTGGGCAATTCAAAATGTTCATGACTTAGTATGTTTGCAGTGGCTTAACAGGAATCAAAGGCTTAAAAACAACAAGCACAATACAAAATAGATCTCAGCTTTCTTTTCAGTGTATATACCATGGATCTATTCCAAGAAAATCCTCATAAGTTGATAAAACAACAATTTATTTTCTTAATCTTCTATATTACAAATACATTATAATTAGAATAACTGAATTCTTCCAATTAGTTCCTATAACATTACTGGATAAAAGGTGTCTTACGAGGCCTATACGTCTAAAAAAGAAAAAAATTCTAGATTCTATAATTATGAATTTGAGATTCATACATAAATAAGGCATATTATAACCTCACATACCCAGAGCTTCCATATCAACATTCTTCCATAAAATAAACATGCTGCATGTCTCTACCAATAGATATTTTAATATTTATAATACTATCTCTATGTCAAAGATGCCTCTATTGCAGATATGTTTGATTATCTCAAAGTGTCTGGATGATGAGGCTACCTTGTGCCTTTCTTCAAGATGTATGTATAGAGAATGGGAAGATTTATTCCTATATGAATGTAATTTAGAAAGATGAGAATTTTTGAATTAACAATTTATGTAATTTTACTTTAAAAACGACATAATGTAGGGTATTATATCTATAGATCACTGTCTCTGATTTCAGCTTAGCACAGTACAGGAAGAGCCATATTTATCCTTACCCCATTAAGCTAAGAGAGTTGATCCTGAAAAAAAATATTAGCCACCTTTTCTAATTTCATTGTAAGGTAGGCTGGAGTAATTTTGATGGCCTTTCTGACCATCAGTTATAAATATTTATTTACATGATACAGCCTTTTGCATGTATTTTTTTTCTGTGTCTGGATTTGTGAATTAACTGGATTCTCAAAATGTAAGTCAGTTAAGAGATATATGTCTATTCTACATTTCCCTTTTCTCCAACCTGAAATGCTCATACTGTTTTAGAGATGTGCCCAGGTATAACTGTTTACCACATCTAGTTTCACAATTTTAAAGAACTTAACTGAAATCAAGAAGGCTGCACTGCCCTTGTAAAATAAAACTGTATACTTTGTAACCATGCAATCCTGCCATAGGTTAAAAACAAAAAGTCTCACCCTCTTTTCAAATATTTTAAATAAATAGAATTGTTCAGAAGTGAGCCAGAGAATTGCCTTGGTGTGAGACAAATGTATATATCTGTAAGACTGCATTTTTATTTAAGGAATTATGTTATTTTAAAAATTACTAATAAATTTTTTAACTATGTCATTTTTGGTTTATCCTAACTGTTTCTAAATATAATCTTTCCTCTTGGAATCTACTGCAAACGGACCAATTTCCCTGATATTGTCATCTATTTATAAATGTACTCACCCCAATCTTATCTAAAATAGCCCCATCAATGCAAAATGTAAACAGAATCAGTCTTAATTGGCTACTACCAAAAATGTAGTTATTGCAGGTAAAGGGCAGTTCAACAATCACAACAGAAGACATTATCTCGCTCACACACATGAACACAGGCACACATACAGATTATTACAAGCAATGAACAATGAGATAAATCAGAATCAGATATCAAGAATCTTGATTTATGATAATTCTTCATGTTTTAACAAAACTATTTCCCATAGTTTTATTATTAAAAATGCTAAGGGAGTACATTTAAAAACTAAACCTAAAACCCCCACTAAGCTGTTGTTCAGAATAGCTCTACTGCAGGAAAATATACTCAATTGTACATTCCTGTTTATATAAACACTTCAGGAAATTTTCTACATGGAACGTATCATGTGCCCATCAAGATGTCTACAGTTCTAAATGCTATTCACTGCATTAAGAGAAAAGTATGAGGAAGATGTGAGATATTATAAGAATATAAAAGTGAAAGGGGCAGGAAAAAATTAAAATTAATAGCATTTATTTTTAAACAGACAAATTGTACATTCATAATTTGAGGACACCAGTAATGAATTAAGTTACAAGAAGCCAGAACTCCAGCTGATTATTGGGGGGGAAAATCCTAAGAGCAAAAAATATCAAATAATGGAACCAATTAATTATCCAATTAAGGCGAGTCTTCCTTCACAACATATGTTCAAGCAAAAGAAAGTCATCTCTCAAAGGGATTGGGCACAATAGAAAAATGCCCACTTCTAACTCTATATTTATAACAAATATTAAATTTGTTTTGATATTACTTTGATAGAATTATTTGTATAAGAAATAGCCTTACTTATATATTCCTATATTTTAAGACTCCTGAAACGCTAGTTTAAAGTATGTGAGCACTCTATTAATAATTTGAGGACCCAATAAAAACTTAAACTTTATATAGTAGATCTGAATCAGTTCTTGTTCTAGATTAATGAAATGCATGGATTTAATATTCTTATCTGTAGCATTGTAAGAAACCTATGTGGTTTGGTTTGGTTTCCAAATACATTTTATCATTTAAAATAATTAATGTATATATTCTATGTTGGTCATTGAGGTAAGTAATGAATCAGTCAGTATTGGACTATAATTTGCCAAAGAACATAAGAAGAACTTATCAAGAACAAAGGCCTATTTCGGCTAGCATTCTGTTTCCCTATTGATCAATCAGATGTCTATGAAGATAACAACCAGTAAGATATCGGCACAACAGTGTCCTCTTTCTTTGATTGCCTAGCAATTTGTACGGTGAGACACAATGCCAGACAATGAAAATAATACTAGCCATTATATGTAGTAGTTACTAATAAATGTAAATTCCATGAATATATGGAATCTTTTCTGAAGCCATTCAGCTTGACAATGATCAATATGAAAATCATAATTTAACTATATGTTGTAAGAAAGGTAAGTCCTTATTAGTCCAACATCTGAGAATTCTGCT